CCCACTACCAGCATCCCACATCCAATGTCCTGTATCCCTGCATCCCATACCCTGCATCCCACCTCTTCCATCCCACCTCCTGCATCCCTTATCCCACCTCCTGTATCCCATATCCCGTATCCCAAATCCCACTAACTGCATCCCACATCCAATGCCCTATATCCCTACACCCCACATCCTGCATCCCATATCCTGCATCCCTCCTGCTCTATCCCACCTCCTGCATCCTGTATCCCACCTCCTGTATCCCATATCCCGTGTCCTGCATCCCACTACCTGCATCCCACATCCAGTGTCCTGTATCCCTGCATCCCACATCCTGCATCCCATATCCTGCATCCCATATCCTGCATCCCACAGCCAATGCCCTGTATCCCTGTATCTCACATCCCACATCCTGAATCCCATATCCTGCATTCCACATCCTGCATCCCACCTCTTCCATACCATACCCTGCATCCCATGTCCCATATCCTGAATCCCACTACCTGCATCCCACAGCCAGTGTCCTATATCCCACGTCCTGCATTCCATACTCTCCATCCCACCTCTTCCATCCCACCTCCTGCATTCCATGCCCTGAATCCCACTACCTGCATTCCACATCCAATGCCCTCTATCCCTGCGTCCCACATCCTGAATCCCATATTCTGCATTCCATCAGTGGAGGATGTAATTTCCACCGCCCGCCTCGTCCCGCGCTCATCCCGTCCCACATCCCGCTTTCCCGTCCCGCGCTCATCCCGTCCCGCATCCCGCTTTTCCGTCCCGCGCTCATTCCGTCCCACATCCCGCTTTTCCGTCCCGCGCTCATCCCGTCCCACATCCCGCTTTTCCGGCTCTTACTGTCCTCGTCGAAGGGCACCGGGCGGCAGTAGACGACCAGCTCCGAGAGCTCCAGCGCGATCTTCTTCCGCCGCTCCATGATCTTCCCCTCCTGCATCTGCGCGGGGAAAACGGGACCGGGGTTCTTCCAGTGCCTTCCAGTTGGTCCCAGTTGCTCCCAGTTGTGTCCAAGGTTGGCTCCCAGCACGGGCCCAGGAGCTCCCAGTAACCCCCAGTA